GAGGAGAAGGAGAAGAAGAAGAAGAAGAAGAAGAAGAAGAAGAAGAAGAAGAAGAAAAAGAAAAAGAAGAAGAAGAAGAAGTGGAGGAGCAATAACAATAATAACAACAACAACAACAATAACAACAACAACGACGAGGAAAAGGAGGGGGCAACACCTATACTGGCTTATGCTTATATTTATAAAGTTAAAAAACGCACCGAGATCACAAACGAAACAAAAATAGAACCCCCTTGTGCATATGGACACGTGCAAGAGCCTAGCATCCCTAGCAACAGATTAAGTAGAGTAGACACTGTTTCGAAAATGTGTGTTTGCATGATGGGGTCAGAGTACTTGTGAAAGCATACTGCAAGTACTACTTCACTGTATTGTATTGGTTTTGCCAAAATGAATTTTTGACCCGTACGATGTATCTCGCGCTGTTCGGTAATTCGACGTTGTCCTTACAATTGCACCGGCTAAAGCTGAGAAATAAGAATATAATTGAATGATTCCTTAAAATGTACTCCTTTTGTTGTTGTTTTTTGTTAAACTGTCATGGAAGATTTAATTGTTTGAGGATACCCTAATAAAAATATCATTGTTAATTTGTTATTACAGAGCAGGCCGAAACTAAGCTACACCACGCTTTTCTCTTGTATTCTTTACTCGGCAAATCGAAGTCGACTCTTGTGAAAAAGCAAACATTGTTGTTCTGCAGAAATCGAATCAACTACGAGAAAACCTGGAATTAACCGGTAATTTAAGACGGATTTACAGACAGTTGTCATTATGCACACATTCTACGAAAATCGGATAAATATGTACCACTGTTTAATACCGCGGTGTGCGCTGGAAGGCCACTCGCCTCATTCATCTCAGGTAAAGATGCGCATGAGTGCCTATATATCTGTAGCAGAAGGGCCTGGTATGCCCTTTCTACCCACTCTTTATCCTCTACGTTTCTTTGTTCTTCTTTGGCACCCCGGGTACTGTAGAGTGAGCTGCTCCGAGCCGCTGCTAAGTCAAACAAGGTGTAGGGCCTACCGGTAATTGTAGTGCGTTACTTCTTACTTCATCATGGATTGTATTATGTTATAAGTATGCCCGGCGTCTGTCGTATTGTGTTTCTGGGAGTTTTGCAAAATTGCAAGTAGAACAACCTTGGACTGGAAATGTTTTCTTACAAGCATCTATAGTTAAACAAAAGTAAATGATCCTGAGACTGGGTCCTCGATACCTCTTAATAAATACATTCGTTTACGTAAAATAAGGTCCTGGCGGGGCTCTGCCTTTTTCATTGGGGTGTGTGTTTGGAGGGGGGGGGGGGGTGCCTATTTAAATGCTCATTCGTCTCTGGTCTTCAAGTTAGAAGAGATACTCGGGTTCGAGGTGGTGAGGAATTCTGTCTTGATCCTCCTGTTTTGATTTTAGTATTCAACCGATGTATGGAATGGAAAGAGATCTTCTTAAACTGAACAGACTGATTCATTCTGTTAAAATTCAGACTTTCTTGTTTGGCTTGATAGTTCTCTCTATACTCGTGGGTAAATTATATATCTTTTTGAACTTTGAGCTGCTTGTGTGCTGAGATAATAAATAATATCTTATCTTTAATGATTCAGCCCTAGAGAGCGTTCCCCCTTTGCCAGACTAGGCTAGTTATGTAGCCTTCTGATAACCTGTGCATTGTAACGTTCTTCATGCCCCTCACCCCCTCCCCCTCCCTTCCTCCTCTCTCTCTCTCTCTCTCTCTCTCTCTCTCTCCCTCTCCCTCTTTCTCTCTCTGGTTCCCTCTTTCTCTCTCTCTGGTCCCCTCTTCCCCTGCTCTTCTCTGTCCACCTTTACTCGTACAAGAGTACGTTAAATATAAAATATATTTATTGTCACCCATTCTGCTTAACCACTTGCCCTATTTCTGTAACGATTAACATGCACATGCACTCTCTCACACACACTAGACACATACACACCACTCAGGAATTAACACTCACACATTGACTCACATACTCACGCTCTTCCTCGACACGATTCCAATATTACTCCCCCCC